TATTCAAAATTCAATTAAAAAAAATATAGCAGCACCCCGTCAGTTTGAATAGCTAAAATGGCAATTAAACGGCGCTCATTTATAATATTGCTTTACATAGTTGAAGATGCTAATTTCAAATAATAGACTAAAGTGGTATTTTTTATACGATATATGAGGAGATGAAAGTATAGAATTGATAGTTCCGTTTAGAGTACGGCAGTGTGAAAATTGCATATAGAGAGTAGAAAGCGAGCAAGGACAACTTTAGGAAGGTACGAAACGGTTTTATCATCTCTTTTTACCAAACTCCCCCTTTGGAGGTTGCTGGTTTTCCAGCTCGGCAAAATCCAGCATTTTTTTTCGGTCTCCAGCAATATTGTGTGTGGTAGGATAATTTCTCAAAAAGGGATTATTCCTTCTGTTTTCTGTTTAAGGCCGTACGAACAAAGATGAATACTAAGATGAAACTGTAGGAAGAAAAACTTTCTATTTTAGTGTCCTCTTTCACGGTCCCTCTCATCCAATGAAACCCCCCCCCCGTATTCAAGGTAATTTTGTGGATTTGCTGCCCCCTCGGTAGAGATGAAATTTTGCGCTCATTTTTATCAAAACAATCACACCAAAATCAGAGATGTCCCATTTTTTAATTACTCGATTAACAACTAATCAAGCAACTAATCGATTATTTTTTGTTCGCTGTGCTGCCATTTTTCCACCTATAAAAGTGCACCACATGTTTGAAACTATCGGTGATGATCTTCTGGATATTATAATGCTTATATCGGCATTATATAACCGATTGCACATATTTTACTTTTCGGCTCGCTAATCGATTAATCGATTATTCGAATGAAAATCGGCCATCACTACACGGAACCGAATTTAGTTCATTTAAATCAAAAATAAAAATGTTCATTCTATAAACATATGAATAATTAAAAATAAATTAAAACCATGTTTGCAACAAAAATATATATGTTTGAATTAAAGTCAAACATGTTTATTTCAACAATATAGAATTTGGGTAAACGATTTTTAGAGTGCCCTGCATTTTTTCCTTCTTGTTTACATTCGGAAAAAAAATGCCCCAGCTTTGCCAATCAACTGAAAACGGCCCGCAACAAAACCGAAGTCATGGATGCGGAAACCCACCTAGGTAAGTATCTTAACAAAGGGAAACGAAAATCCGAAATGGATTTTGAATCTATTCCGGAACCTCCAGCCCCTCCCCTCCCCCCTTGAAAAAGTAGTTTCTTCCTGTTTGCTTCGAGCTTTTCTCTTTGATCTTCTCTCCTGCCATTAGCAGATCCGAAACATGCTCCTCATTTACACCTGCCTTGTGTTCTTGCTCTGTGCGTAATTGCTCCAACTTTTTCCGCTCATTTTCCATTCGCTTCGAAACTTCAGTAAGCTTTATCATATTCACACAATCCTGACTCGACTGATTAATTTGTTGGATCAACTTCTTACTAAAATCAGTGCTGCAATCATCCTCCTTCCTTACCGAACTCAACGCTTTCTCATCATCCTCATCTTCTTCCGATTCCTGCATTTCCAATCCTACATTGCAACGAGCATTGCAATCAAACAGAATTTGGGATCTTCCTGCAGATCGTTTTTTTATCTCTTGACAATCCATTTTTCTGCTGTACCTACCTTACATTCAAATGCCAATATAATTTAAAATTAAGTATGTTTCTTTCAAACATAAGAAGCATGTTTAAAATAAACATATTTATTTTTGTTCGCATTGTTGTCAAACCCAGGCCAGTGACAAGGCCTATACCAACAGCAGCGTTTGACAGTAGACAGCATGTCCCGGGCTCAAATCATTTATTTTGCTGTGCTGGGCCCGCTGTCACTGTATAACATGTTGCCTACGCGCCTGCCACTGGGCTGGTCAAACCAAACAAAAATATTCACGTTTATTTTCAACACGAATATTTTTAAAATACACGTAAAATTATTTTTTTTTTAAACATTAATATTACATGACTTCAAACATGGAATACGTTTGAAATAAACTTTGTTTATTGTTGTGGCCAGAACAAACTGAGTTTACGTTTAAATTTACCTCAAATATTTTTGTTTCAACGATAAATTTTTCTGCGTGATAGATGAATGTGAAACGTCATTTCAAATATAAGGACCGTACATAAATAATGATACAATTTGAAAGGGAATGGGGCTAATCACAAATTACGTCCCCATGGTAACTGAAATAAACACAAGTGTTCATCGGTTGGTACGACCATAGAGGTAACTTTAAGACCACTGGGTCCCGAAGAAAATCATTATTATTTTTGGCTCACTCAGTACCAGAACAACGGTCCCAAGCAGTCCCAAGCTATTTCACTCACCCCTGCATGTTCTGCATGAATCCACACACCCCTGATGTTATCTGTCAAACTTTCATAGCGAATCAAAACAAACATAGTGTAGTAATAGAATTTCAACTAGAATAGGGTACGTTAATCGTTTGCTTGGGACCAATAGGCTACTAAAGTGGTGAGCCAATTTAAAATCGTTAGTTTCGTACACACAAAAAATAATCGTTAATAAATTTAAAAAAACCATTGGTAAAATTAAAAGTTAGCGTTGGTTCTTTTTGGTAGAAAGTATTTAGCATTCAAAACTAAAGTCCCCTAACTGTCAATTCAAAAGTAGCTCTCTTTCTACTTTTAAAAGTTGAAACTTTCAAATCGAATTGTAGAACTGTCAAACTGAAAACCTATAGTTTTTAAATTGACGTATAACAAATTTTAATTCAAATGATAAGCATTTTAATCGCAATTACATACGTTTTTATCTTAAATTTGAATAAATTTTAAATCAATTACTTTTATTTTTTAAAAGAAATAACCAGGGAAATTCCTTTTATTCTAATTTATTTTTTATAATAATTATATTGTCCATTACAAAGCAGCAGAAGTGACGCTCCCGATGCTTTTACAGTATGAATTGTATTATTTTAAAGATTGTTGATCAAAGCTGGAATAATTTACTCCTGACGGACTCGGTGTGGGGGTACTTGAATGAAAGTGGCATCTTGATGGGGGTGGGAGTCGAGGTGGGAGTAAGGCCGTGGCCAGACACAACACGCGACGCGATGCGATGCGACTCACGCAAGGAATAATAATAAATAATAAGATTCTTTTGAATTGGTCGCGTCGCGTCGCGAATCGCGTCTACCCTGGCCGTACCCTAACCTTCCTTTCCGGCAAGACTGAGGCTGCTGAAAATTAAAACATCTCATTTAGAACAATCGGAAATTAATTGAAAATTATACCAAATTACCGTCAATTCCAGCACGCCATCATTGTCTCCATGTTATGATAGAGTTTATGATTCATCTAACATTGCTTCCTTCCGTTGGCTGCTTTGACGATCACCTGCAATCAGATGAAAATGAATTAGTGGTGGCGTACCACTTTTTGGGGAACCGATTCCAGTTCGAAAGAGATACCGACGGAAGAGTAATGTGGAAACGTAGAAAACACAGCAATATGGTTTATTTTTCACGCTTTCAAATTAAGCGGCAAACGAAGGTCAAGTGATGCCAAAATCTTCGCAATGACGAGGAAGTTTTGAAAGATCTGCGACTTTTATTTTAAAAAATTAACTTTTGAAATTACAAGTTGAAATTGAAAGAAACACTTTTAATCCGAAAAAAATGTTTTGATTTTGAATATTTTCGTTGTTAAAACTACGAAATTGGAGAAACTTTTAAATTTAAATTTCATTATTTTTATAGGAACAATTTTTGTTCTTTGTGTGTATTGATTGTTGGTACGACTGCACCACAAACGAAGTGACAGACGACTAACTGGCGAAGAAATCCATTTAAATAATGTGGTTCACTGTAATAGAATTTTCTAGGAAGCTTGTGCCATCATCCACCAGATGGGTTAGTTTTTTGTTTTGATTTGAACAAAGTTGATTTTGTGTACAATGATTCTTTGACAGTGTGCAAAGAGTGCGTATCATTTTGTCATTTTTTTTATGCATTTCAGTTTTGAGTAGAGTGAAAGAGATAGAACCAAAACATTCTAGCACATTTCGTGAAAATGCTAGTTCAATCCTGGGTACTGCGGAGTTGACCAATTTTATTTTACAAGCCAATGGAAAACTGCTTGAAAATTTTCTCAACTTTAAAACTGGTTTGCTCTTTCTCGGTTGATTCCCGTCAAAACCTCTGAGCCAGGAGTTCTCGAGCCCCCATGACTCTATCAAAGTTTGTTTACATACATGTTTCGCCAAAGTATTTTTTACTGTAATTGAAAACTCAGCTGCCTCATAAAAACTATGCGGGTTTTTATACTTTCATCACTGAGCCTGTTGGTTTTTACAGTTGAGCTTAAAATTAAGAATGTGTTATGAAAAAGTATAGATAATTTTTATGAGATTGCAATGCTTGACGGTAGATAAGAACAGTAACTGCATTTGCTGCTTGTGAATGTTTGGCTCCCGCTTGACAGTTCACACTGGCTCCCAAGTGACAAGCACCTTGAGTGAGTCCGCAGTACTCAAGTTCAATCTAGTAGTAGTGTTGTCATGTGGTACAATCCAGTAGTAGTGGTGTTGCCATGTGGTACACTGAAAAATTGCAATAGCAGGTTAGTCACCAAAGTTTTCGAGCCGCTCCGTCTGTCACTTCGTTTGTGACTGCACCCATTGATTTAACACGCGGCGACTCTTTATCCAGGATTCGCTCCTCAAGCCGCTGCCATAAAATACTACCAAATGTACACACCTGTATATAATCCTTATGAGCGGTGCGTTTCGACCGTCACCAAATGAGAATTTAACATAAGCGGGACAATAAAAAAAATAGATTATGTGACTTGCATTTCTTCATAAGCCAACTATTCAATTTATAGCAAACCGCGCAGCGATAAGAGCAATGACGCCCTTTGCAAATCCACACCTCGCCATAAAATCCGCCCAACATGACATCTCTGTCATGTTGCTCCGCTGCGAGCCGAGCGGTCATGTTTTATGCTGCGATGAACGAAACGAAGGAGAGGCCCCGCGTACGTCAAAAACGTCGAGTCGTGTGTGTAATGTAAATTTTTCAATCCCCCAAAGTTTGAACATTCGCGAGCGCTCAGTGCGATTCTGCAATGTGTATATTTCGTGTATTATTCTAGTGCGATTTGATTGCCCGTGTTATTTTTCCTGTAAAGTGCATTGATTGGCCCCGAAATCCTTACGAAGCAGTGCGTGTCCATTAGGGCCAAAAGTGAGAGTGAAAACGCAAGAATACGAATGTCGATACCTCCGTCGTCGTCCACTTTTGGCTGCTGCTGCTACTACTGCTGAAAAGCGGTCCTCGTCCTCGCCCCTACTGCTGCTGCTGGCGCTGTTTTGGGGTGCGAAAGGCAGGCTGCGAACAGAAGAACGAAAATGTCGGAAATGAAACGTGTGACACTGACGTCGATTAGTGATGTGGTGAGGAAGAGTCCTTTTGGCGGTGCACTGGATCAAAACACGGAGAGCATTTTCTCCGGTGCATTCGGCGGGGGTGGCGGATCGGCCTCTTCCGGCGGAGGAGGCGGCAAGAATGGCACCGCTGGCGGCAAGCCACGGAAAACCGTCCGGCTGGAGATGGCACTGTTCGAACCGACGGCGCAGAACTTCCCCGAGTTTAACTTCTCCAAACTGATGCATGAGGAGCAGGTGAGTGCGCGGCGGTGTGGTTGTGGAGGAAGAAAGGGTGAAAGGGATGGCGCGCGGAATGATGCTCCGAGGGGCTCGTGGAAGGTGTTGTTTTGTTATTGGCGTTTTGGGGGCATTCGGTTCGAGATTGTGATTGTTCAGCGAATAACGAATTTTGACTTGAATCTAATTTTTGTGTGATGTGTTTGAGTATTGTTATGCAGCCGATTCGGTACAGAGTTTCGAAATTCAATTCTTGTTATAATGAAATTGTGGAATGTGTTGCTAACAGACTGATTTGCCATTAAAACAGTACCGTGCGTGACCGAAATCCGTACAGCACCGAAATCCGTACACCCTGTTGAATTTGATTATTTATATGCATCATAACAATGTAAATATTATACATGAATACATATTCATGTTCATTCATGCATTAGCTTCATGTTAACGTCAACAATTAAGCAGTATGTCATGCAATTAAAATAAGAAAAATAAAAACCTTATCACGTGTCGGGCATTTCTGTCAATCGGTTGCGTTCTTAACGATTTTCTAAGAAAATCTCTCGGATTTACTTCCAGTTGTTAAGCGTATTTAAGTGATTTTTGAAAGTAGTTTCCTGAAGGTCAATCGGAAAGGTAAGTGTTTATCATTTTATATCTCAATGCTAAGCAATGGATCATTCATATGGTATTTATTTATCAAAATTAGTACTGTACGGATTTCGATCCATATATAACAGCTGATTCTAAATCCGTACACTTGTGCATTAACAATGACGATTCTACTTTATCCAATGTTTTTCAGCAGATCATGGAAGCTAAATACATGCCGGAGGATTTGGAGAAGACTGTGGCAATGATGCGTGCGGGAAAATCTTACCGAGAAGCATCCAGGGATTTTGCCGTTCCATTCACCACCATGATGCCGTATTGAATCGCTACTCTCTTATTTTATTCATATTGTAAATGTTAGATTATTAATATCTTTTAATGAAGAGCGTCAAGAACCAGCCGAAAAGTAAAACAACGCAGCTCCCCTACAGGATACACCAACACGCATATTCAAATTAGGGACCATGCATAAATGACGTAGCATTTGAGGGGGGAGGTGAGGGTTTCAGAATTTGTGACCAGCCATGTATTGGATATAGCCAAATACGCTACGGGGGAGGGGGGAGGAGTATAAAATTGATCAAAAATATGCTACGTCATTGTTAGATGCTCCCTTACAGAGAGCAGACAGAAATGGGCCAGAGAGCATTCCCAGCAGTAGCTACCAGCGAGGAATGACCGGAAATACACATGAAAGTAGTGCGGGCGAAAATTGATAAAGAGAACGCAAAGAAACAAAGGATTGAGGAACGACAAAAGAAAAAGGTTGAGCGAGAGAGGAAGAGGAGGAAGAAAAGGAAGAAGAGGAAAGAAAGTTCCCTAATAAACAAATACCATGAACGAACTATCCCACAAATGGTTTGGATGATACCCCGAACACGTCGTTAAGCTCTCTATTATGGTTATTTTTATTAGGGTTGGAAGCAAGAAAGCATTATAACTTGAAAAGGCAATGGTAACAATGGAGGAGAAGCAGAAGAAAGCTGTGGAAAAGAAGCAATGAAAGATCTGCATTTTTATGATTATTACTCTCTTGACGTATTAAATTAAATTAAGTTATAGTCGTTATTTTACCTATTTTAATTTTCATACACAAAACGAAAAACTAATCCTTGATGTCAGTTCATTGTCTGTTTTTGTTGGTTTCAAAGATGGTTGTATTTTTTTTTACTTATCCGCCATTATAGGGCTTACATCTTAGGAACCGGTTAGATTATCGCTTGATGCCAGTGGGTTGGTGGAGCGTTTCCATTATCGTTGTATTAAAGATCTTTCGGCAGTCTTATCTTCAGTTTGCTATTATTGATTCGACAACATTGTCCAGGCTACACAGCCCAGTTTAGTCCCGGTTAATAATGTTTTGTAGCGTTGATCTGGAGTACCCCCAAGTTCCAAAGTATGGCGCATCTTGCACGTTATCACATGTCAAATTTCCAAAACCTCGAAGTTGTGATCGGAGGAAAACTCCAGTAAGAATATTTAACCCAAAGCACTGGTATAGAATAAAATTTGGAGGAAATGAATCCTTAAACATGATATTAGTTAGCATAAAAATCCAGAACAGTCACCTTCTTAAATAAAAAGCAATCAGTTACCTCTCCTTTGAATCGATTGGAGTATCAATTAATCTAACGCTAATTAGTTAAAAAAGTAAAAGTAAAAAAAAATGAACCTTTGACGAATGATTCTTATGTAAAATCGTGCGCTGAATTCAACAATGTAGTCGAAAAAAATGTCAGTAGGATAGTTTTCGAGATACAGCTAAAAATGAAAATTCACTTTAAACAAGTTTGATTACAATAATAAAAATATCTCCGGTTCTAATGAGATTATATCAATTATTTTAACGCTAAATTAGAGGTAAGACATTTTTTCGTTCGATCAATTGAACATCAATTGTCAGTGAGATTGATGGTATTGTTGTTAGTTAATAGTTTTTTTTTAAGTTTTCCTAAGAAAAATTGAATTACTGCTAAGTTTTTAAGCAATGTAAATTAAAATGTTTATGGTGGTTCTACCATTATTCTCACGGAAAAATAGTGTTATAACGATCGAAATAAAATTTTATCACGTTTAATTTGGCGTTAAAATAATTAATATCACTTCATTGCAGCCAGAGATATTTGTGCTTTAGTTTTTTTTAAAGTGAGAATTCATTTTTTAGCTAGGGAAGGAGGGGCATAGTGAACAGGCCTATGCCTCTCTTACCCCTATATCTCCAAAACTATCATACTGAGATTTTTTTGGACTACATTTTTGGATTCAGCGCATGATTTTACATGGGAAATGACCATCAGCGTACAAAGTTCAAATATGCTGTAAACTAGTGTATTTAAACGAATATAGCTGTTTTGGACTCTTACCCAAGCAACTAAAAAAAAAATTCTTTATTCAAGATAGCAACATGTTTTTTTAACATTGATTTGGATCGATTTACATTCATGTACGGATTTTTAATTCATGACTGTACGGATTTTGATTCATCCTCAACACAGTGTACGGATTTCGATTCAAAACTGTACGGATTTTGATTCAATCGTAGAACGCTGTACGGATTTTGATTCAAGATATGTGCAATTTAAATCCTTTTTTCTAATAATTAAAGGTAATTTTAAGACCTGGTGTTTGCAAATATTAGAAAAATAAAGATAAATGTAAAGGAAAAAGATGTGGTACAGACCTTAATGTGATAGTATTATTTAATATTGACCATTAATGATTTTCTCGTGCTTAGGTGTACGGATTTCGGTCCCGCACGGTAAAGCTCTTAAAAAGTTGTAAATAAGGTTATTAAAAAAAACTATGTCTATTTCATTTGTCGACCACCAACAACACTTAAAAGAGTTCAAAGAACTTTGAAAGTCAAGTTATAACCTCTTAATAATTTATATATTAGGTTTTGAATAGTGAGTTCCATTATTTATTTATTTAACTTTAGAGATATGTTGATTACAAAAAGACGATAAAAGTGATGTTTGAGATATAAATTTTCATTTCACGATATTGCTTTTTGAGTCAGAATTTATCTTTGAGTAACTCTAAAAAAATCTTGAAAAGATTCCAACACAAGTTCTACAACATATTTATCTAAACAAATGCTCAGCAGTTCTATTCCTAAAACTGATAATAAGAATCAAGACCATTTTTCAAAAGGCCATGGTTCCCAACAATTCAAAATATGCATTTCATTTGTCTTTGATTTAGTTAATTCCATTCTGTAATTACCTATATAATAGAACTCACAGAATTCAGACCACCAAAGTCGGTTGAATTTTATCGGGTTTTGAAAAGCATAGAAGGTAAATATTTCAAATGACCGTTACACGTAAGAAATCAATAAAAAATCGACATTTTTTTATTATTAAATGGAGTTAACTTAACAAAGTTTGCAAAAACTCTGCAATATTTTTTTTTTAATTTTTTACTGATTTTTAAACTTTAATCGAACAGCGAAGGCCTGGATTAGTGGAAAGGATCCAAAAAGGTGGCGTATTACAAGCAAGTTACTGCTTTATTTGAATGTTAGGAATACTTACTGAGCGAGGTTAAGTCAAGAGCCTCAAAGACACAGAATTCACGAAGCTTTATTAGATGATTTATGAACATAAATTAAAAAAAAAATCAATGATGTTCCTGAAGAACGAAGCGGACGAATTCTGAGACAAGTTCAGAGACCAAATCCATTAAAAAAATAAAAATCCATTTCCGTAGAAGCTAAACGCTGTTAGTTGTTGCTAAATTTAATTTGCTTATGGGAATGTGTGCCTCTTAATAGATGTTACACCTAATTGTGCTTGCCAAAATTTAATCTTCGAGTAGATTAGTGCTCGAGTCTCCTCGATGCAGCTGTGTCCAACAAAAAATCAATCCCTTGAGCACATTGGAGCGCCTTTGAGTAAATCCAAGAATGGTTAATAGTTAAGCTGGGGTTAGACAAGGCATGCCATTGATCAACACAGTTAAATTGAAGAGTTGAGCTTGTTTCAACTTTTTTCAATTCGAGTGAGTTGATCAAGTCAGTTGAATGACATGGTTTCAACTGAGTTGATCAATTGACTTGCCTTGTCTAAACCCAGCTTTAAGAGAAGATGGTGATTTTAGTCTGAACACTTCTAGATTGTTCCTTATTGTGTTCTTAACAGCTTTATTAGCTCAGAGAACAAACTAAATGAAAATTCCGAATAATGGTTCTGCTTGGGAGATTTTTTTTTTTACTGCTTGGAGTAGCACTTTTATGATTGAATAATGATTCAAATATACGTAGACAAGCATTGACAGCACAGAGTGGCTTTGATGCTCTTCAGATTCTGATGAACGCTTCAGGGAGGAGTTTCTCCCGAAAGCCATCGACTCAGTCAAAGATACGACGCCAACTTTCTGGTGGGAGTTTCAACCGGATTCAGACT